GTATAAACGTTACGAACATTAAACCACAATTCCTGAATGAGCTGGATGTTTAAATATCAAAATATTTAAATAGGTGAAAGAGTTCAAGTATATAGTAAGAGTAAATCAATAAAACATGATTTTTAAAATTTTATTTTTTTCAGTTTTGCTGTCTGATGAACTCTGTCAGCAGAGATAACAGGAAGTAAAGATTAGAGCTGTAATGGATTAAAGCTTTAAACTAACTCTAAATGTGTACAAATTGTTTCCGGCCCTGCAGCGCTCAGTCCCAGTCCAGTTCTTCCACCATGAGCGCCATGCGAGTGGACGCCAAAGTGGTGATGCTGGGGAAGGAGAGCGTGGGGAAGACGAGCCTGGTGGAGCGATACGTCCACCATCGGTTTCTGGTCGGCCCCTACCAGAATGTGAGTTTCAGCTCATCTGCTTTATATTTATACATCAGATTCTCGACTTTTAGCTATTTTTATGTTGGCTGATGTGGTTTAACCTGTCTTTTTATACTGATAAATTCAACTTGTTTTATTTTCTCCCAAAAGACAATCGGCGCAGCTTTTGTTGCCAAACCGATCCAGGTGGGAGAGAAAGTGATAACTCTGGGAATCTGGGTGAGTTAGAGCAGTGGTGCCAACCTTTTTAGACTTGTGTCATTAATTCTCAGGTATTTTATTTTATTTTATTTTTTCAATTCAAATTAAACATAAAGATTAAAACGTTGCCTTGAAAGTGAATAAGTAACTAAATAAATAAACCAGGTAATAACAGGTGCAGAAAACAGCAGTGTCCAAAATACAGCAGAAACTCACCCAAAATGAGGAAGGGGTCTCTGCTTAGGTTTTGTCCTGTGGGCGGAGACATCCCTGCTCGTGATTGGAGGAGGTTTCGATGTGGGCGGAGATGGCCCGACACGCGATTGGTCGGATTGACGGTGCGGGGAGTAGCTTGATCGAGTCGGGCAAGAAGCTACGTTTTTTAAGATTAATTTTAGTCATAACTTGAGAAAGGAAAGTGCTAGATGCACGAAATTTGAACGTCATACATGTGAAAGGATGTGTAACAATACGGCTTGGTCAAAACATCCCTAACCAGTCTGTTAAAAGATCGCTAAAAATCATTATCGTTTTACAGATAATGATATCTATTATATCTATCTATATTAAGATATCTATTTTATCTTTTTGTTGTCTCACAACATTACCAGCTGCTCTCTACCAGGGAGGGGCCGGCAACATGCGCTCGAGTGACCCAAAGAATGGATYGGCTGAACGTATCGGCCGATACCGTTACAAAGAAAAAACGCAAAAATCGGCCAAAAATATCATCCGGCTAATGTATCAGTCGACTCCTGAAACTAACTATAAGAAACAAAACGGTAGAATCAGAGAGTCACAAAAGACACCCTTAAAGTTAGAGATGGCAAAACACTAGTTAAAAGCTAAAGGTAGTAAAATACTAACTAGAAGCTAAAAGTTGCAAAAGATTAGTTATTTGTAGCAAAAAGTTAGGTAAAACTTAAGGGTAGGTAAGAAGCTAAATGTACAAAAAAGGTTAGCTAAAAGTAGCAAAAGGTTAAACAAGAGCTAAAATTAGAAAAAAAAGCTAGCTAAACATAGGTAAAGCTAGCTATTAGTTTTAAAAAAGCTAGCTAAAACCTACAGTAGAAAAAGGTTAGCAAAAAGTAACGAAAGGCTAGGGTTAAAACAAAGTAGCAAAAGGTTATTTAAAAGTTAAATTTTTGAAAACACTTAGCTAAAAGTAGCTAAAGCTAGCTATTAATAGGAAAAAGATAACTAAAACCTAAAGTAAAAATGGTTAGCTAAAAGTAGGAAAAGGCTATGTTAAAAACTAACAGTAGAAAGTTATTGAAAGTCTAAAATTAGGAAAAAAAAGGTAGCTAGAAGCTAAAAGTATCGTAGGCTAGTTAAAAGTGGAAAAAAGGTTAGCTAGAAATAACAAAAGGCTGGTTTAACAATTAAAAGTAGTAAAAGGTTATTGTAAAGCTAAAAATGGAACAAAAGCTAGCTAAAAATAGGGCTAGCTATTAGTAACAAAAGGATAACTTAAACCTAAAGTAGAAAAAAGTAGCTAGAAAATAAAAGTAAAAAATGGTAAAATGCTGGAGATAAGACTAAAAGTAGCAAAAGGTTAGTCTGAAGGTACTTTTAGTTGGCTAGCTAAAAGATAAGAATAGCAGAAAGGTAGCTAAAAACCAAAAGTAGTAGCAGACACCTGATTTTATTTTATTTTTACGATCTGCTCTGTCTCTTGTTCAGGATACAGCTGGATCCGAGCGGTACGAAGCCATGAGCCGAATCTACTACAGAGGAGCTCGAGCTGCCATCGTCTGCTACGGTAACCTTCGGCTGTTTTTACATGTGAACAGTTTGAAAGCTCCAGCAGGAGACAGACGTCTGCTGATGTTTTTCTGGTTGGATCTGTAGTGAATCAGTTTTATTGAGTGCAGGCTGTAAAAAGTTTGGTGTCTTTCGGACATCACATATTTTGTCGTGCAGTTCCTGGTAGTTTTTTTGTTTGTTTTTCTGTAACAGACATCAGATGAAGATAAATTATCTCAGCTTTCGGTTACACCCAGAGGAAGAATGTGAATTCAGAACTGCTCAGACATCTTACCTGTCTGACCGAAGTTTTAATGTTTCTGTAAACGGCATCATGTCCGATACCACCAGCCTGACTTGTGGTGTACCCCAGGGTTCTGTTTTGGGACCCGTTCTGTTTATTCTTTATATTCTCCCCCTTGGACAGGTAATCCAGAAATTCAGAAATGTGCAATTTCAGCTCTATGCTGATGATATCCAACTTTATTGCTCATTTAAAGAAAGTGAGTTTCATAAATTAGAGTCCCTAACAAATTATTTAGCTAGCATCAAACAGTGGTTAAGCAACAATCGTCTACAACTTAACGCTGATAAAACCGAAACTCTGACTATTGCGCCGGAAAATAAGGTTACTCAGATTGAAGAGTTTATTGGTGTCTTAGGTCCACCTGTTCAGTCCAGCCTCAGAAACTTGGTGTCATTTTTGATTCTGCAATGTTTCTGAAGCTGAGCTAATACATATAAGGCAATATAGCATCGGGGCTAATGCTAAAGCTAACATGCTAATCTGAGGTTGTTCTTCCATGAAGCAGCTCTGTTGTCCTACATCCATATTTTCAGTTCCAGGCTGAGTCATTTCTACCTTCTCCTCTCTGTCAACGCTCTCTGGTTTCATTTAAAAGAGTCGATCATCAGATATTGTCCAAGATTAACCTTCAGGGTGGATATAGCTCGCTAGCAGCCTCGCACCCAGAATTTATGTGACAAAATGGGTAAAATCATATATATTATGTCAAGTTTCTTAAATATAAAGATATTTTCTTTGACTTTTTGTATTTGAGTGAGCTGCATGTCACAGGCACTTTAAAGCAACATCTGATTTAGTGATAAAAGTAGTAAAATCCACACTTTCTGTATGATTTTGAATTAAAACACGTTACAATCTGAAGCATAAAGGAAATAAATGTGACGTGATTAAGTGAAGTAATTTTTGTGCAGTCCAACTAATCCTCCAGGCTCTGCAGTGTTTTGCCATCAGCTGTGACTCACCATTTCCAGCCACGGTACTATACAGTCTGAATGAAAGAAGTGGTTACAGGGTAGCTGTCTGACTGGTTCTCCCACTGCGAAGTCCTCTTTGCACACTGGACACTCCATACAGCAGTCTGCAGGAGAAACCATGGAAACATCAGGTTTAATCTACACATAAAAACACCTGCTGACCTTACAGTCACCTGAGAAAACATTTTAACTAAAAGGTTTTTATTTCTTTCAACTTAAGATCTGTCAGCTGGACATGTTTGGTATTAGGGGGTGTAAGAAAATATCGATACACTGAAATATCGCGATATTTCA